CTTTAATTTATTGAATGGATATGTATTAACCAGTCAATTTTTTTCTCGTTCTGTACATATATATCATTGACGGTGTAACTAAACTGCAGTAGCACTCTAGAAGAAATACAAGAGAGTTACAAACAACATTTCAGTACCAATCTGTTCACAAAAACATGTTTCCGTTAATCGTGGAGGATATTCGACGCTATCGAATGCAGTAACTTCTCTCATCGAAATGTTATTTGTAACTCTCTTGTATTTCTTTTAGTTACTGTTACTAATCTATACACTCTAGCTTGATGTTGATATTGTCTTCATACATTATTATCAATTATGAGAGGAACACTTTTTCTATTGAAAGAAACACCAACTTTAATGTATAGCTCATTTACGGTGGAATACCTGCTTAACCAATTCCAATAAAAGAAATAATTACGTTAGTATCAGAAAATTTCATGCTTGCTCCTAATGTCAGAAAACGTCTGATCGTATTGAAGTCTAGTGTAAATTCAAACTTACTTAGCAATCTTCACATTTGTTACTGAGTGCAGTTGATGAAGAAATTTATCTTTCATCATGGTGGCTCTACTTTTTTCTCTTTTTGGTTCTATGTGAAGATATCTCATGCAGTGGCATTATGACGCGCTTTTTTTTCTTTCGAGCTCTGGACGAACACATGTCAGCAGCCACGTTATGAAGTACTTTTTATCGTTTTCTTTTCTTTTCTTTGCCTTGCCTATAAGAGAAGGCCACTCACATAAAAAATGTTTTATGCCTATCTATCTATCCACTCAACTAATCAGAAAGCATCACCGATCCATCAAGCGAACAGAAGAAACGTTGGCCTCGAATACATGGATCTATTGTTTCAGCAAAAAATTATTTCCAAAAAATCAATCATTAGCAAATACACTTGCTATGATTGTTTTCGGGATAAAAGATTCAGCAGATAATCCAACTTATTTGAAACCAGTGTGATATCAATTTCTACTCAAGTCTCATATGAAATTAGAACAGATGTTTCCCAAAGAAAATGACGACGGTATGTATACTCTTCGCCGAAAAACACTTTGTTGAAAGTACTTCCTTGATCACGGATTATCCCAAAGGTGAAAGTGAGAGCAAAATGAGTTGGTCTCTTTATTCTTAGCAAGCCTGTATAAGAATTAAAAGGTCCCAACAGTCTAGAGCGTTCCTCAGATCGTTCGACGAAATGCTTTTCGGCAAAGAGTATTATATCCTGTTCTGTAGTCCTGACGAGAGAACCTAACGGTCTTCGTCCCTACAATTTATAAGCTAAACGAGAGTACTTTGCCAAACGTTTTGTGATCGATCATCCCTCTTGTTTACTTACCGTCTTTTACAAAAGACTGAATTTTTTAGAGTACCATTTCAAAACATAATAATAGACTCAAGAAAAAACGTCAATCGTAGTAATACAATCTTCCAAAACTTTTAACATTACCTGCTTCTTTTATTCGATACATCAATGAGAGAACCGCACATATATATGTTCTTCTCGTGTAGGTAAAAAACGATGAGAAATATGGTAAATCTGATAATAATAAACGCAATGTTATATGTTTTAAAGCACAATACTATACTTACAAAATAAATATACGCATTTGTGTTAAAATGGGTCAGTATGTGTATAATATTGTTCGAAAATAAGACCGTAAATTGGTAGTATTGTTTATTGTGACACATGAAGTGTTATATTATGGTTGTTAGACAACTTTTCTCGATCATCCTTTTAGTTGTTATTTCCTACTCCGACTAAGTGTTACCTACCCCAACGTGTAAAAAATGTTACTCATTTTTACTTGAGAGTGTGGGTGTGGCTCAAGAGAAAATCCACAATCACACCCGCACATTAAAGCGTTTCATTCATTTTTAAATTGGTGTTAAGTACTTCGATCTTTCATTATTTTCAAACTTCAATTAAGAAAATTATCATTATTTCAATCACTGGTTAATAATTAACGGTATATTTGACAAGTACGAACTGCCTCGATTGTTGCCTCAATTAAAATTGAAATTATATTTTTTCTTGTTTCGTTCACATTATCAGTATGTGAATCATATGTTTAATGAGAGAAAAAAGCAAACTGGCACTGTCCTTATTTTCGCTTTCGTTGTAGTTAGAAAGAGAAAAAGAAGTTGTTTTGAAAGAATGAAATAAAAATATACAAAGTATAAGACAAGATACCTAATGCAATGAAACTTAAGTTACGCTTCAACATGAAGCGTAAATGGAAGAAGGAAAAAATTAGCATACGATCAATGACGTTGTTGATTTTTTTCGTTTGATTTGTTTTTAACAAGCATACTTTCAATTGAGTGTCAACAAAAAAAAATACGCACATTCGATATCAGAGAAAAATCCAGAAAGAAATAACATGCATAGAATGTATGAATATAAAAGGTAAACTCTGCTCAAGCAGCAATTTATTATTCACAATACACGATTACCGATCACACAACCAATATTACATTGAAAATGAGTCGACAACGAAGACGACGTATGGCTGAAAATTACTGGGTTATCTGAGTCGATGAAAATATCGACATAGTCAATGAAGATTGCCAAAATACACTTGCACAGTTGTGCGGTGTTGTGAATCAAGTTAATCCATGTACAACAGCTAAAGAATGTATTCAACAGCTGAATGAAAATTCTGAGGAGATATCGTTTGTTATTTCCTCAGGTACGCTTGCACAACATCTAGTGCCAAACATTCATGAAGTACCAAAAGTAAATGCCATATACATATTTTGTGACAACAGACAGCAGCATGAAGTATGGACAAAAGGTTGGACAAAAATCAAAGATGTTCATACATCAATCAAATCAATATGCGAAGCATTGCAACTAATTGTCAAACGATGCAATCAAGATAATATGTCGGTCAGTATTATCGATGTGCATGAAGAAGATTCTACCGAAAATCTTAATCAACTAGAACCATCCTTCATGTATACTCAAATACTCAACGAAATCCTTCTTGATATGGAACATGGTCAAGAAGCCATTAAAAACCTGGTCACTTTTTGACAACAAGAATACTAGGGCAATGTCCAAGCAATCAAAGCTATTGATGAATTTCAACGCACCTACCATCCCTCTAAGACCATCTGGTGGTACACACGTCAATCTTTCACGTACGAAATGATCAATCTAGCATTACGAACATTAGATGGCGACATACTTATCAAAATAGGGTTTTATCTGTGTGATGCACACCGACAAATCGAACAATTATATAGCAAACAAATCAGTCAAGATCATGAGCAAGCCTTTCTAGTCTTTCGAGGGCAAGGATTTCCGAAAGCAGACTTCGAAAAACTTGCTAAAAAACCAGGTGGACTTATATCATTCAATAGCTTTTTATCCACTAGTACAAATCGAGATGTCTCGCTTTGCTTCGCCGAGAGTGCCTTAGGAGCAACTGATAAGGTCGGTGTCCTTTTCCAAATGACCATCGATCCCACTATCTCATCCAGTCCCTTTGCCTCAATTCAAGAGCTAAGTGGCTTTGCCCAAGAAGAGGAAATTCCGTTCTCCATGCACACAGTTTTTCGAATTGGTGACATTCAAAAAACTGACAGCAATCATCCACTTTATCAAGTGTATCTTATATTTACGTTAGATAATGACCCACAACTCCGTCGATTAACCGACTAACCCGCGATGCAAAAGTATCCGTACAAATGTCGGGACCTGTTTTGTTCGAATGGAAAGTGCTAGAAGCCTACCTTTTTCACTCACAGATGGAGCAAAGTATGTACTTTAAAATACATATTTGCAATAAAATTTAGGATGAAGTTTAAGACATTAAATTTTTAGTTTTTTTAAATCACTAAAAATGGCTTGTTACCAAGGTAAAATTAAGAACTTTTTCATGTCTTGGCTATGTGTTTGCTTTAATGCTTTGAAATGGGATATAAACTTTGATCAGCTATGTAGCTTTGATTGGAAAAAAGTTCAAGTAAAACAGATGTAATCCTTCCGAGTTATTAAAGTCTCTAACTATGTCGAAATCGGGGCCAAGTGCTATTTTGTAGGCATTCTGTGTTCCGTCATACATGAGCTCAATACAATGTCTATTTCTAATGTTTCATATATCTTCTTGTAGGGCTAAAAAAGCTGCATATTTTGCACCTATTTAAAACATTTGTATTCTTACAAGTGTTGAAAAATTTCGCCAAAAGTCGTGGAATCTACTGGTTTACTTTTACCACTAATTGCTGGTTACTATGGATACGCAGAAAAATAGAAAATCTATTTTCAAAAAGCCTAGAGTCAACAGTTGTCCTTTTCCAAGTTTGAACTCCCTATCTTCTTTTGTAGTCAACATAATGCAAGTTAAAATAAGAAAAAGCGCGAAAAAATCTACCTTGGTGACCAGCCATTTTTAGTGGTTTAAAAAAAATGTAAATTTAATATCTTAAACTTCATCCTAAATTTTATTGTAAATATGTATTTTACAGTACAGACTTTGCTCTATCTATGTGTGAAAGAATTAGGCTTCTAGCACTTTCCGTTTATATACAATAGGCTTCGACATTTGTACGGATACTTTTGCATCGCGGGTTATATACGAGAAGAGGTCGACCATGTTGGCTGGTATCGAATGAGTAAATTGTTGCTCAAAATAGGTCAAGTCAACAAGGTCGAAGAATTGTATATGACACTACTAGAACAGGTATCCAATGACAATGAAAAAGCATATATTTATCACGAGTCGGTTAGAGTACAATGGCAACAAGGTAAATATGAACAAGAGATTACGTTTTACGAAAAAGCACTAGAGATCAAGCGAAAAACTCTCTCGGACGATCATCCGTTATTGGCTTCTACCTACTGCAACATGGGTCTCGCATATGATAACATGGGTGACTACTCGAAAGCGCTCGAATTTTACGAAAAATCACACAAAACCTTGGAAAAAGCTCTACCCCCAAATCACCCCGATTTGGCTACTTCCTACAGCAGCATCGGTCTAGTGTATAAAAACATGGGTGACTACTCGAAAGCACTCGAATTTTATGAAAAATCACACCAAATCTACAAAAAAGCTCTGCCTCCGAATCATCCATCATTAGCTGCTCCCTACAGCAACATCGGTCACGTGTATAATGGCACGAGTGACTACTCGAAAGCATTTGAATTTTACGAAAACGCGCTTAAAATAAGAGAAAAAGTTCTGCCTTCGAATCATTCCGATTTGGCTGCTTTCTACAACAGCATCAGTCAAGTGTATACCAACATAGGTGAATACTCAAAAGCACTTAAATTTTACGAAAAATCACATAAAATCTTGGAAAAAGTTCTACCTCCGAATCATCCAGACTTGGCTACTTCCTATCGCAACATTGGTGGAGTGTATTTCAACACGGGTGATTACTCGAAAGCACTTGAATTCGGAGAAAAGTCTCTTGCAATCTTCCAAAAATCATTTCCACCAACACATCCACATATACAAAAATCGATTGAAAATATTGAATATGTAAAAAAAAGAATGTAAATTTATTTTTTCTTTTGGCTTGCTCAATAAATTGATTTGCATTGCTACTCACTTCGTTCTCAGCTTTTCTTGGCTCACTCTCGCTTACGCGCGCGAGCAATCAGGGAGATCCCTGTAAGTCTGATATAGGTACACGCGGAGCGGATCACACTGTACTGGTAGAACATGACCATAGACATGACGTACAATAACGATGACAGAGACCTACAAACATATAGATCTTCCCTATTATTACAGTACTTCGTCATAACAGGTGCAAGGAATCTCCCACACCCACATTTCGCTAGTAAATTACGTGCAGCTTGTGATTCATTCCGACACAAGACAAAACGGATTATAATGAAATATAAAAATGATATAACTCCTAAGATTAAGATTCTTCGCAACTTAAAAAAAGATGAATCAATAATTATTACTAGACCTGACAAGAGAAAAGGTGTGGCTATTTTGGATAAAGAAGATTATATTAAAAAACTGAATGAAATTGTGAACGACACAGGCGCATTTAAAATTATAAAGGAAGATCTGACTATAGCTGAAGCAGATCGATTATTGAGAAAATTAAAAAAGCTAAAAGAGAATGGCTTGACTTTACCTGAGGAATACAATATTGCACGGCTCACTGGGTCTCAGCTTGCAAGGATCTACGGTCTTCCAAAAATACACAAGACTGAAAATCTTCTGTGTCCCATTTTATCTGCTTGTGATACCTTTAATTATTGGTTGACTAAGGTTTTAGGCAAATGACTCAGTCATTTAAGAAAGTATGATACAGTTATTAATGACACATTCACTTTTGTCGATGAATTACAGCGACTATCTTTAGTGACCACAAACGTGAAACTTGCATCCTTTGATGTAACAAGTCTCTTCACTAAAGTCTCGCTTCATTATACAATTAATCTAATATTAAATAATTACATGACGATCCTGACACTTGTACAGAAGATCATTTAAAACGTACTTTGTAGTGCAAAAAATGTAAAGGTAGAGCTAATATGAAATAGCTATTAGAAACGGCCACAGAGAGAATTTATTTCATTTTCAATCATAAAATATATTGTCAGACCAATTATATCGCAATAGGATCTCTATTGGGTTCGGTTTCTGCAGATATTTTCATGATACATCTAGAAAAGGAGTTAATGCCCATATTAAAAAACCATGGTATCGTGTGGTGGTAAAAATATATTGATGATACATTCGTGATTTTGTCTAACGATGCTGATATTAATGTTCTGAAACATATACTAAATCAATTCTATCATGACATACAGTTCACACACGAAGAAGAAACAGATATTACTCTCTCGTTCCTTGATGTTTTAATCAAACGGGATCCCATGACTCATTCAAACAAGGAAGAGTACAAGAACAAAGATCAGTCTGATTTCTCTACAACTATCTATCGAAAAGAGACTTTTTCTGGTCTATTATTAAAATGGGATTATTTTTCTACCCAAAATATACAAGACCAATTTAATTAAGAGTATGACATATAGAACTTTTAGAATTTGCTCCACATATACTTTGTTAAATAATGAATTCACGCTTATTAAAAAAAATTACTATCGAGAATAGTTATCTATTAAAATTTGTTAATTCTTATATGCGAAAAACCTTGAACAAGTACTATGAAAGATCAGAGAAAACTCAAACCACAAATATTGATAAACATGCAACTAAGAATATATCAAAAAATTAAAACATTTTGGTTGACATCCCGTACATTGGTAAACCTATGACTATTTTTGAAAAAAGATTGAGGGTGTGGGATGATGAACATTGACCTTCACACCCGCACATCCACACCCACTTGAGTCAAAAGCAATATGATATTCGGGATCAGCATAAAATTCTAAGTTGGTCTAGGTGCAATTTGAAGAATTCCTAAAACTTTTTTTTTGTAGTCGAAAAATGTAGCCCTGGTCGTCCTCAATGACCAGACAAAACACGAACCCAATAAAAACTCTGCTTTTATTTTCTAAACATCTCCTATTTTGCTATCTAATAAGTTTTAACAACTTTCGCAGTTTATTTGTACTGTTCAGAAATGGTGTTGTGATACAATTTGTTCTTCGCCACGTCGTTGAGGGGGATCACGAATAAATTTTTCGACTAGAAAAAAGTTCCAAAAATTCTTCAAATTGCACCTAGACCAATTCAGAATTTTATGCTGATTCCGAATATCATATTAGTTTTGACTCAAGTTGAACTTTTCTTACTGGAATCTTCTAAATATTGATTCAAAATACACAAAACTACGCTTAGAGAATAGTGTGCTTAGAAGTTTTTTAAGTGGTCTGATTTTTTGGACTTTGGATAATATATGATATTTTTAGCTTTTTAAAAAGGCTATCAAATGAGTAATACCACAGTTTTAGTCATCATTTCAATTTTTAAAATAAAATATTTGTTGAAAGATAAGTGTGAATCATAAAAATAGTGAATATTCTAACAATGTCTACCAGTGCATCAGGCCTATATCTCTGTAAATTAAACAATCAATTGGTGATTTGTATATGGGATAGAAGGTCTATCAAAGAGCAGCGAAATTCATAATTTCAGTAGTTTATTTTATTTTCTGTTTATTATTAAATCGAGTTCACCGTGATACAATGAATTATTAGAATAGTGTCCTAAAATGTATTATCTGGTTGATAGCTTTTATGTTTGCAAAATTTGATCACAACCTCATGAAACTACTATTAAAATGTTTGTCTCAACATGTTCTTTCCGTTGATATATGATTCAATGGGGTTAGCCAAGAAAAGTACTAGTGAGCTGATTTGATGTTTTATTCGCCTCCTCTCTTCCTTTAACTTGTAGTATCTCTCTAAAAAAGGTATTTATATGAGTCATTGAGAAAAAAAAGAATACGACAACGGCAGATTACCTTTACGAAAATGCCTAATATTGCCTAATAATCAAAAATTTATTTATACATTATAGTGAGTCACACATTACTTTGTCACTGTACCGAGATCTAATCAGTGTGTCAATACAATCGATGACTGAAGGAGTTTTGTTTTTTTTTCGTTCTATTCGCTAGTATTTGTAAGAAATATATCTCCTGAATAATTTTTGGGAGAAAAATTATGTACAGTACAATCGATGACGAATTATTAAAAGTGAAAATTTCCTAATGAAATACACTAAGAATGAATCATTGCAAAAATTACATAAGTATTTACGATTTTATGCTTATTTAAGTTGCTTCCTTTTTTTCGCCTGGCTTTCCTTTTATTATTTTTTATCGTGTTTTTCTTGTTTCCATCTTGCTATATACTCAAACGTAGAATATGACTAACTAACAATAAAATAATTACTAATATTTTTCAGTAAATATTTATTTCTATTCTATATCGACGATTGTATTGATACGTGGTCAACAAGAAGTAAACAAAAATTCTTTTTTTGTTTTAATTTTTTAATTATTGTTTTTCTATTTGATTTAGTGACAAGTGCAAGCGATTTTCAACGTTTACATAACGCTCTTTCAACCAATCTAACAAAGATTAGTACTAATGGTATGTTGAATCGATGATTGTATTAGTTTTTTTTTCTATTTATTATTTATTTTTTGTAGTTATGGATCTTGAAAAACTCGTCCAAAAATTAGGTACACCAGAAGATAGCGAACTGTTACGTGAACGCTAGTAAGTCAACGAAATAATTGTATGCAAAATTTCAACATTTTTGTTGTCTTAGTCATCGTCTTGAGAATGAAACGAAAATTTTAATGCAACAGACACATGATGCACTTGAAAAACTTTATAATACACGTGTAACAGAAGTTGATCAGGTGTGATTAGAAAAAAAAACAATGTAATATGAATATTTATTTAAAAAAAAAACTATCTATTTTTAGAGACGTAAAAAAACGTTAACTGACAATTTACCAAAACAATATTTAGCAATATTAAATCGTTTTCAAAAAGCACAAAGTATTGGTGCACAAAAAGAAAAAGAAAGTCTTGATCGTGCACGAGCTATTCCATTTCGTCAACATAAAATATTGGATTCACCATTTGCTGATGACTTTGTTTCAACATCATATGATCAACTTCAAAAACAAGCTGTTTTACCTATTGAACAAGAAATTGATATGAGAGCATTAAGAGAACGTGAAGAACAATTACGTGAACTTGAGGTAAAAAGAAATTTGAATATTTTCAAATGATTCAAAATTATGTCATACATACAAAGTTAATTGTTGTTATGTTAAAAGAACATTGGAATTTTTTATAAGATGAATATTTCATATATTAATGAATTTGTATTAAGCGGTAAATCTGTTTCTATTAAACTTTAAACTTCGTCCGTTGAACAAAAAGACTATTAGCACGATCTCTGACACATTTCCGCTTTTATTTTACTTTAATCATCCGAAAATAGAATAAGAAAGTAGTTAGTATATTTTAACAAGCCTTTATTAATATACTGCTTATGATTGCATATTAACAATGTCTGTCACATCGTGTTATATGATAATAGATTTTGTTGATCAAATCTTGATTAGATATCTCATTAAACGAGTCAATTGTTCTATTCTAATCCTTTTGAAATCCTATATAGTAACCGAAAAAGTTTGGTTAAAACAATTCTTTTATCATTTAGACGAACATTGTTGAAGTAAATGAATTATACAAAGATCTTGCTAAACTTATCCATGAGCAAGGCATTGTTATAGGTAAGTTGATTTACATTAAATAAAAGAAAAATTGGTATGGCAAGAATTGAGAACTTAAAAGAAGAAAAAAAAAATATTTTAAAATATTATTCAAAATCATGTTGAAACAACTGTCCAATAAACGCACCAGGCCACTCAACAACTTGTACAGGCTACAGTTAATCAAGTGTTTTGTTATTTTATATCGCTGTTGCTTATTGTTTAAATTTTTCAATATATACAGATCAACTTCATTAATTAAGAGTCTGTTTTTCTTTGAAAGGGTCATAGAAAGAAAAACAATAATAATTAATTAAATAATAATGCATGTAAACTAAAACTTCACTTCATGTTTTTAGACTCTATTGGTGAATATATAATCAATACGGAAGTGAATATAACAAATGGCAATCAAGATTTAAAGGAAGCTGAGGCTGATCAGGTTGATTTTTTCTTTCGTTTTAATTTAAAAAAAAATCTTTTTAATTTATATATTGTATTTATAAATCTTTTTGCTTTTTAATTTAAAGAGTTCTGCTCGATGTAAAAAAATCATATTAGTTACAGTTTTACTCATTGTTATTGCCATTATTGTACTTGTTTTGGTTTTAACATTGAAAAAGTGATATTCAGATAGGTTTGTATTATATATAAATCTATGTATTCAAATTATTTTATGTCTTTCTTTTTTCTTTAGAGACACCGCATTCATATGCATTTAAACTGTTTTATGTGTGTTATAATAACAGCTATGATATTCTTTCTTATTATTATTAATATTTAAAATAAAACCAGAAGTTATTTTGTTCTTTTTTTTCATGCACACACATATATACACTACTGGTCAATAGTATCCCTCTCCCTTGGTATCTTAGTCCCTATAAGAGCTGAACGTCTGAAGATTGTCCTTCAGGTAGTTCACAGAAAACCTAGGTCAACAGTAAGACTGCGGGTGTAGGTGAACAAGTGATACTCCTCACACGCTCACACCCACACCCTCAAGATGGGATCAGTTATAGGCTGTTTTGTAGAGCACCTTTTACTACATCTGTGTATCATAGTGGATAACTTCAGGGCATGTGTTTTAATATGAAACAATTAATGATAGAAATCGAGTCAAGACTTCTAGGCTACTCTTTACAGGTGTATTTTCATCTTCAAGATTTGAAGAAAAGAAATCAATTATAAACTAAGTCGATTGTCCTTCAAAATGAGTTTATGAAATACTGATATATGTAACTCTACATTGGACACGTAAAAGATTTAGATTGAGAATTATTAGTACATTGCTATAGTTGAATTGCAACTTTTGATTTAAAAGAATTTTAAAAAAATGGTTCTTTTATGTAAATCGTGAAAAGGATATCACAGGTTACCCATATTTATTTATGTTATTTTGATCCTTTAAATTGTCTTCTATTGGTCATGTTTTAAAACTCACATCCTCAAAGTTATGTATTTTATTGGTTGAAAAGTGTAGTTTTATTGTTGCTTGATTACACGCTATTAGTATATCTAGACAATGTTTGTATCACTATTTTTTTATGATTTCCCATTGTTTTTGTGAAGATTTATTGTAGTATTGATTGCTAAAAACATTCAAGTCATTTGTTGTCTGATACTAGAAGTAATAGAACCTACCCTACCGTTTGTTCTTATGGAATTTGTTGGAAAATAGTAATGTCCCAACCTAGGTCGACGTACGTAATGCACTTAATATATTTATTCTCATGAACTCTGTGATTCCAGGCTCTTGTTGGAGAACTTGCCACTTCACCATCGTATATTGGATTTTTACAATATAAATCTAGAATGATTATAGTTCAAAAATAATAAAGACATATATATTTTTCATTTCTATGTATTCACATCCTACGTAGACAGTAACATTAGAAAACACTGTAAAAAGCCTTTACGTATTTATGAATCATTGAAGATGTCATTCAAACTATTTTGATTCCAAAAGTACTCTTCGCCAACTAATCAATCTCGACAAAAATAAATTTTTTCTATAGATTCTATGAAAAACTAAAAAGTCTTTAAGTCAATCTCCATCGAAAAGAAAAGAGAACATATAGTTTATAGACGTAATCATGAGAAGCGGTGTGTGTGTGTGAATTTATTCGCGCCTACATCCACATATTTCAGCCATCAATGAGTCGAATAATATGTTTTGGCGTACATCGAAGTGATTTAATCATATGTGATACAGAAAATTAGTAAAACTTATTTAGAATCAATTTGGTGCATGATGTGTGATGATTTTCTCCTAGTTCACTACGATCTCTCATTACAAGATAAACATTCGTCATGAAACACTTACTTTAAGATTTAGACATGTATCTCGAATTTTTATGAAAAAAATATGATAGACGGCAGAGATGAGGATTGAATACTGAGGAAGTTTCATGTTCTGCCATATCATCGAAAGCTAACATTTCGTTTTACACAAAAATAGTCTGCCTAGTGACTTTAGATTCTCGATGGAATCGGTATTTTTTTCTTAGGAAAAACCTCACATATTTGACTTTTCAAACTGCAAAAAGAATCTATTGATTTCCAATCTTTTCTCGGTGAATTCACTCAACTCCATGCAACCGAGAAACGAATAATTTGTAGTTGTCTTCGTTTGTTTGTATTCAGAATATATCAAAAGTTGAGCTTTTTCGATCATATTGATTTATCGTATGGAAGTCAAAGGTGATATAGAGAGAAATAGAATAAATTCATTTGCCTGTGCGACCACTAGTCTCTTAAAAAGCAAGGTTTTTTCGGTACCATAAGTGACGCAAACTTACTTTGAAAAAATCAGGACAATCTGTTTGAAAAACAGTCTTAAAATATTCAAGCAAGAGAATGTATTATCTTACTACGTTTTATCCGTTTCTTGGCTTTCGTAATGGCCGAGATAAGACGAAAGAAAAAGAGAACAAAGAAACTTCTGCAGTTATCTTGTTATGAAGTACATCCTCATTCTGTGTCTCATACTAAGACACATATACCTGTATAAGTAATAAACTGTGACGTCGTTCTCCCATTCGTTTGATATCAACGCATGTAAACGACAATGTCGGAATATGTATCTGTATTGTTAACAGTATATATAGAGGTGTAAGCCGTGCGGCTGGGCTGCCACCGTCATGACACTGGAAATTTTAAAAATTTATAAACCCCCGCCGGTGGCATTCGAAATTTTAAAATTTTTGAGCCGCCACCGCTGGCAACTATCATAAATATCGATAACGTTTTATTTATATTTTCCTTAACTCAATACTTTTACAGCTTAGAACCCCTATATATCTCTTTTTCATTAACTCTCTCGCCTTCACCCTCACTTTCGTGCTTGTTCTGTGACCAAACAGATACTTGGGGTTCTAAACTATAAAAGAACTCTTAATTCTGTGTCGGTTAAAAATTCTAAGTAATCATTTCAGTTGTTTATGTCTATTATATTAGATATATTTATATATACAAGAACAGACGAGCATTTTATATTTTTATTAACACAAAACAAAATAAAACAAAAAACTTGTGTACGCTAGGTACTTTTACTTATGAACAATCGTGGTGGTGGTTTTTCATTTATTATTTATTCTGGTGATTATATTTATTTTTCATTATGTCTCGATGTAAAATAAAGCTTTTCCATATATTTGTTCGAAAATAAAAAGGATGGGATATTGAAATAGACCTTGTCTACATTAGAAAATTTGGGGTGTGGGTGTAGGTATACGGATGACTGTGGGTGTGGATCATTGTTTCACTTAAAACCACACTCACACTCGTACACACCTTACGCCCACTTCTATTCACCCACACCCTCACCCTCACTCATCTCTTGTTTTCTTCACATTTGACTCGTACTTACTTCAAAGTCAAACTATTTTGCTTTATAAGAGAAAAAGAAACTACTGTTTTTCTTTCGATGAATCATTCGAACAAGCCATATTTCTCAACAAATAAAAGCTGCTTAATAATCAACAGAAGAGAAGAAATAGTGTAGAAAGAAAGTGACACCTTTTCCATGGGCTATACTCTTCTCCCGCTAGTTGTTTTTCTTTTAAATATTTTTTGTTGGGTGTGGGCGGGGTGTGGGTGTGTGGAAAGGCAATCCACACCCATACTCCCACGTACACCCATACTCCCACGTACACCCATACGCCCACATACACAGCCACATACCCACACTCACACCCACACTCACACGCGCACGCGCACCCACACCCCGACACCCACACTCACCCTTGCTGTGATGTGAATAGAAGACTCCTGCCCTCACCCTCACCCTTACGTCTTTCAAAAACAGTCATCTAGTCGATCAGCGTACTGCATTTTAAGAGTTCCTGTCTGACGATACCAGACAATGCTGAATTTACGATCATTTTATAAATTTTATATTGGGTGGCATGAGAAAAAACCGTTTCACAGACCAAGCCTGACTTTGAAACACATGATTTTTGAAAAATGCATCCAAAAGCACCACTAGGTGTTAGTTCAAAGCATTTTTCTCCTGAACGATAGCGCTAGTAACCTAGAAAAGGTCTTAGAAGCATAGAGCACAAAATTATCTATCTCTTGATGTTAAAAATTCTTTAATTTTACCATCGGATCTGATAAGCACATGCTTCCACAAATCGATAAATGTCTGCAGAAAACAAAAGATTGCAGTTGGACGATTGAATAGATCTTAATGTTTTATTCTTTGCGCTAATACGGAAAATTTATTGAAAAAACAAAGCAGCTAGTTTTGTAGAGCTTGAAACTCTCTGTCTTTTGGTATATAAATGAATACTTTTTAAGAACAAGAAGTGAGAGAAAAATCCATATATTTTTAGTCCGATTCATTATGGCCCACCCATTATCTTTGAGTCTCATTTTTAAATACGGAAAAATATTTGTATAAAAAACTTTCACTCATAATCTTACGTAATAATAGTATAAGAAAACGTCAGTCTATAACTTTAGTTTTTCTTTTTTAACCTGAATGTAAATTTAGCTTGTGGTATATCATCATTTTTGTTTGCTTGTTCAACAGCTAAAATTAAATGTTGTGGAAAAGGTCTGAAATGGTTGAGAAAATCAGTTTTGATTTGAGGATTTACATATAACTGAGTCGTTAATTTATAATAGCCTGATGAGCTTACTGTAACATGAATATGGCTTGGCCTTATTGAGACATAAGGAACAGGTATCAATGTTTCAATTTCATATTTTCCTTGGTTATCAGTTAAAAAATAGCCTCTGAAATTATAACCAAATACACTATATCCTGTTAATGGATGATATTGCCAAACATCAATTTTAGCATTTTCAAGCGGTTTTCCAGTATCAAAATTAACCACTTGACCATAAACTTTGATTGGCTTTAATTTGAATGATTTGATTTCTTCTTTACTATGATCATGTAATTTATTGTATCGCCGTGGAGGAAAAAGTTTATAGGCCGGTCCTTCAAACTCAGCCTGAGGATGCCAGCTGTGAAATTTCTTCCATAAAAAAAGATTATCGAATGTAAAAAGCATAGTTAAATTACGAATGAATGTTAAGAGCAATATAAATATATCGATAATTAAATTTATCATTTTCGATAAATGACTGAATTGAATTATATTGATAATAATAATCAAAGATGAATAAATTTTGTTTAAGGTTTGATAAAATACTTGTTTTTAAATCTAGAATGTAAATGAATAACTCGTAGTAATACCCAGGATGTAAAATTCTTATCACAAATAAACAGAATGTTGAACGCGACAACTTTCTCAAAAAATATGCAGCTACATTATTTAAAAATTATCTTTGAGTTACATTTTTAAATATGAAAAAATATTTCTCTAAAAAATTTTCACAATATTCGCATGCACAACTATTGTCTTGTTGGGTGAACTCTACTCAGTGTTTTCGATCTATATAATGTAGGTGAACGTTTTTTTGTCAAAAATCAAAACAATCCTATTGGAAAAGTTTTACACACGCTCTGGTTTTTTGTTGTTGACCTACTGGCTTGCTGAGATGCTACAGAGTATTTTTGATATTAAACTACCCAGTCACATTTTCTTCTCAGTATTCTATATAATAAGCTAGTATACAGTTCTTTGGTGTCAAATTTTGAATCAAAACTTGTTTTTAAAATTTTAGAAGCCTGTAAAACTTTCTTTTAGGTTTAAAAGATTCCAAATTTTGTCCACTTTTCAGAAAAGTGATAGAGGCTGTAAGCGAACGACATGTGCCCAGTGGAAAATATTCGAGTAAAAAATCACGATTATTTTTGATTATAAACAAATTGGTTCGATTTTTTCGAGAAAACTTCACTTTTTCCAACAAATTCTATTAAAATTGATTTTAATACGTTCATCGATTGAAAAAAAATCTTCTTTACGAATTTTAATCGATTATTGGATCTTTAAATAGATTTTTGTCCAAAATTGATTGAAATCCTGGCAATCGATTGAAATTTTAATCTTGTGGAATCAGATTGATCGATTTTCAATCAGCTATAATCGACTGTTGGAACATCAATCAGATTTTAATCAAAGATTGATTGAAATCCTGGCAATCTGTTGAAATTCTAATCGTCTTAAATCAGATTGACAGATTTTCAATCAATTATAATCGATTATCTGATTATTAATTGGATTTCCATTGGAAATCGATCAAAATCCTAATCAAAAGATCTCGTAACAGAGGGAACAAGGTGGATCGTTACGTGGTTTGGCCACTAAGTCGATTTGTCCTTAAAGAACATTGTATATGTCAGAAAAGCTGTCGCGATTCGCCCTACGTCCGCTCCAAATGCTCTCATTAAGCCCACATATAGAATCGTTCGCCCTCTATATGTTTCTATCGTCTTGGTTAGTTTTGATAGGTAAAACATCAATAAAATCATTAGACGTCCCCTGGGAGAATTATCAAAAAGTGGTATTCGCATGTTTTGAAAATACCAATTAACTTTTAATCAAACAATAACGAACAGGAGTTAATCAATTCATACTAAAATACTTTATCAGAAAACGTATTTTCCTTGTGAGATCAATCTCTGCTTCGTCATTTTTCCAAGCCACCGTTGACAGTCATTTCTAAACTACTATTCTGTTCAAAATCAAATGAACTGTCTGGAATTTAAAATAACTCAAGAACAAAAGAGGTGAGAAAATCTAGAATTCTACGTTATCAAGACAGAGTGAGGACAAAAAACTTTCCAAATCCGAATTTTGAGGAGAGCTCTGAACACTAGCTTACGATTTTAAAATCTTTTACGGACTTTGCTGGTTTTTTAAAGCAAGTAGTGACAGAATGACCTCTGCATAATGATTCTAATTCTTAGATTGAGAAAAATACTGCGGAAAAAATCCATAGTATGTCGACTACCAAAAAACAGCACCAAGAACTTCCTGTCATTGGAGATTATATGTAAAAGGAAACCAAAAGAAGGTATTTTCTAATAAGAGCCACTGTTGCAACACGATATCTGAGTATCAATTATCATGGCTTCAATACGTACAGCGCCAATGCAATGACGGATCGACGAAATGTTCACTAATAAGTATTGAACCAGGAGACTAGTCGAGGAGTTGATAAATCGCTCTTTACCTGAAAAAATCCAAATTGAAGAAGGCACTTTGATCGAATTAGAACTCATTATTCAACCGAGATCCAAGATTTTGGGTTGAATCGATGACCTTTTATTATCGAAGGATATAGGAAGAAGCCAATCATTATCAAAATTTTCTTGTAGTCCTTTATGTGAAGCTAGACAGATAGAGGATGAAGATTTTTCATATTGTAATCGTTGTTCCCAATCGAAGTACATATTTTTTTTCTTCATCGTAATAGTAGTATAACGAATCCCCAAGCTACAGAAGAAAAACGAAAAAGTGAATTTGATAAAAAAAGTGGACTGTGGAGTCCTTATCTCTCAATTATATATGCGAATGTAAAGGTGTAAAGACATACATTTCCGAGAGAAACCTATCTATTTAGTTTACTTCTCTAATCTTCCTTTTCAACATGTGAGTGTTCGCGCAAACGTGAGAGCAGCTCAAGAATGAGAAAAAAGATTACAGTTTAAAAACAAACCTGTGCCTCGAATTGGAGAGCAATGCAAAAATACAACAACGTGCGAGACTTCTAGGTGTGAAATTTTGCACATAATTCTAAATATGTCAAAGCATTATCCTAGTATAGTTGGACTCAGATTACAGCTTTTAGGAGAACCGAACGAAAAATTTTTGTAGTGCTCCATATAATATTTATCAAGGGCATGGGTGTGGGTGTTAGTCATCTTTTTAACAAGATCCAAATACCCACCCACACCCACACCCATACAAAACAAAAGAAACAAGTCTGAAATATTTGAAAAATAAAATATTTTTATCTGTGTATATTGATCTTTATTTTTTCTTTTCTCAATCAAAAAGAAAAAAAACACAGAAAAAAAATAGTAACATATTTTCAGAGAGCAGAAACAAAACGATATTTTACTTTATGTGAATCTAAACAGTTCTGTTTTAATTTTTTTTGTTTTTTGTCAGATGTTTTTTAAAAAAGTTTAATGTTCAATGAATACAATATTGAAGTGCACAACTTTTTTTTTATCAATACTATGAATAAAAACAATGTTCTGATTGTAATGAATTTTTGTTCATTGACGTTAATATTACTTTTGTGTAATGACAGACGAAGTAGTTGACGATTGATTTACTTGTTTACTTAAAGTTTTTTTATTATCTACATACGTTCGAAGACGATGAAGCCTTCGCGATACATTGTGAATTGTTTTCATTAGACATATATAAAATTGTTTAATATCTTGACCAACTTTATATTTATTACGTTTTATAGACTTATGACTAAATTTTTCTCTATATTCTGCTCTGATTAATAAAATATCGTTTTTTGCCTTAAGTATTGATAGACCATTTGATAAATCGATATGTGATCGTATATCTTTTATTTGTGAAGTTGTTAATTCAACCATTTGATAATAAGATGATAAATTATGTTTTTTAATTAATTGTGATAAATCATTGAAACGAGTTAATAACTATATAAAATAGAAAGAATAAAAATCGGTAAACATTACTTTAATATTTATATTTGACTAACTTGACGAAATAGAAGGAATTTTGTAGTAGCTTCATCATCAAATAGTTTTCGTGTTGATGATAACCGCTCAGATTTATTTGATGATGATGTTTGCAATTGTTCTTTGAAATTTTCTACATTTATCTCATTAGAATATTCCGACGAAGATTTTATATTCGAATTTGATGATATGGATTCAATTGGACGAATCAATGAAGATGATAATGTATTATATTTGTTGTTGTTGTTGTTGTTTTTTTCAACATGCTCAAACCAATTATTGTATAAAATCTAAAGAAAACAATTACTAGGAATAGTTTATATTAAAACAATATGAATTTGATAAAACAGTAAAGAATTAAGAAATATACTCGATATTGAGATGTTCGAAATGCAAGTAGAAATTAGTGTTTACAGATTTCATAATGCAATTTTACACAAAATAGCAAATCTCAAATTGGTACAAATTTCAAAATTTGTGTGTCAGAATTATTACAAATTTGAATTCCTGAAAATTTTTATAAACTTACTAAGTTTGTTCAAATTTATGCATCGATAAATAAGTATCAATAGTGATATATCTGTCTCATATAGACTCAACAGAAACAGAACTTTACTTATACTGAATGATGACTCTTTTTCGTTGCTATTTCTTAAAATATAAAATATAAAGATACATGAATCCTTTATCTTGAGAATAAGGATGCGGATAATGGTAAGGTACGTGTGAAATATTATTGAAGATTTTTATTTACGAAGAAATATTTAGAGTATTTAGGAAAATAATGCTTTGCAAGAAACTAATTGCAGCAAATCTTTGTATGTTTTTATTGGATTACTATTTTTTTATTAGTGACGTTTTATAAATATGTGCATAAAGTACAAATGTATGTCATCGCTTAGCCAGCTAACACTTTTTATAAAAGTACATTTTGTTATGATAGAAGTGTTTGTGAATATAAATTCTGCCTTTAGAGAACACTCGAACTACATTATCGCTTGAAACGCGTATTCTTTATTTATGTTTTATTCTGATTTGATGTATTTATTTTGTTTCTCATTTTTTAAATTGATCCGTTTATTCTTTTTTTAATAAACTAGTAGCTACATAAGACGTTAATTTTACTGTATATATTTCTAAAATAGTATCAGATATGGAAAACTTAGAGCTTCGTTCCAATCATATTTATTTCTAAAATCTAAAACTACACCGTATGTGTAAATTTCTGATTTTTGTATTTCAGTAATATTTTTTGAAAATCTATGACTTCAGTTTTTCTAACCATTTTCATAGATTTCTTTAAAAACCAGAAATCAATAGTTTGATGAAAACTGTTAATAATTTGAAAATTAACACGGTTTTCAATTGTAGGTAACAATAGTAGAAATCCATACAATAGGGTAATGTATCGAATCGCTCTCATTATACTATGTCTTAAGTTGTACTTTAAAGTCTATTGAATTTCTAATATTCAAATGGAATTTTACCATATGGTGTAAAAGTAATAATATAACAGCAGTGAAAAAAATTTGATCTATTTTAAAAAAACAACATATCAATTGAATAGTTTGACCATTTCAGATCTTATCTGTTGGTTACTATAGGCATGTTTTTAAGCCATAGATTTAACTATAATACTAATCATATTATTATTCTTCATTTATTCTAAAATCTCATGCTATTTTATATTATTAATGATAGTTAAAGCAATTGTTTAGTACCTGAGTTGTTTTATTTTCCTCAAAAAAAAAAACTATTACTCTTTTTTCTTTAGAATATGATTAGTATTATACTTTATGTAGATGATTGATTTATTAATATAGACAAATGATGATTGATACATGAGACCTGAAAAGATCGGAATATTGGATTTATACATATTTTTCAAAATAATAGAAAATATGAAAATTAAATAAATTTCTTTTTTATTGTATTTTTATTTTGAACATTTATTCTAAAATCTCAAATCAATTTATATTGAGATCTTATATGAATTTCTTTGGAAAACTTAATTAAATCGTAGAATAAGATCTATAGCCTTATATCTCTATACTTTTAATATACTCATCACAATCGATTTAGTAATATATACACTATTTGTATAAGAACTATTATAGATATAAAACTATTTAATATCTTAATGATGGTTAAACAAATTTCATCTGACTGTACATGTGATCAACTAAATTGTTCTCTTCATCGAATAATTTCATGCGAACAAAAAAACAAACAAACAATCAATTGATTAAATAAAAATCTAATATATATCTATTTGTATATTATCCTTAAATTATACACTTCAAATAAGTTTCTTGTATTATCTATTATTGTTTTGATGGCCCATAGAAGTATTAAATTAGAGCGTCGATGTCACGAAAATATTAACATTAAGTATGGACCTATATCGTATAACTAACAAATATCTGATATTATTTACATTCATTGATTCCATTAATCGATTAAATTTACATCAGTATATCTATTCTATGATATGTATGAGATATAGATCTTAACATCTTCTATATCTCGTACTAGAGCTGTACAACTCACGCTTACGCTCATCGTGAGTATGAACGGAAACTGCTAACCCGTGTTAACTGTGAATGTGAGAGAAAATCATTTTTTCATACTAACAGTGTGGGTATGCGAAAGACGTTCCTTCCTGATAACTGTGATCATGAGCTTGAAGACATGAGCCGAACTTACTCTTTCACTTTAACAGTGAGCGTGAAATGTACACCCCTATCTTGTACATCTTCTATCTTAAGATTTAATTCAATTTTCGAGAAAATCCTTCAATAAAAAATGAAATTAATTTCAACATTTGAAAAATATCTAAGATATTTGAAACATTTCATTGAATTTTTTAAATATTTCTTAGTAGATTTTGAATAATAAACAACAAATTTGACAAAGTATATTCTATTTTTCTTTTATTAAAACATATTTAAATACCTTTAAGTTTTCATAAAATTCAAAGAATAAATTAACAATTATTGGAAATTGTTGAATATGATCGAATTTTTTCTTATTTAAATTAATTAATATTTCCACTGATTGACAAATATTAGAAATTTCATTTAAACTTTTTGAATATAATTTTATTTCTGATTGATTTATTAATTGATAATTTTGAATAATGTGATGTATTTGTTGATTTAATGTATTAATAATTGAACAAACATATCCTCGAATCATACAAATATGCTTAAATAATTCTATTAAAATTAAATCAAAAGCATTTTGATTAATCAAATTTCGAGTAGTATTAATTAAATCATTAGTAGATTTTTCAAATGAATATGCTAAATATAAAAGATTTTTTATTAAATAAATTACTAATAATAATTAATATTATTACTAGATAATCTAGAAGATATTCGTTTGGTTCAATAGAAAAAAAAACAAATAATAATAATAAGATAAATATCCTACTGGTTTATTTGTTGTTTTTGATTACATTCATCTTGAAATTTATTAACATATTTATTATCCACAGATGTTATTAAAGATGTAGTTTCTGTTAAAATAGATTTTCTAATAAAAGAAAATAAATTTAAACAACGAAAAACAACAACAAATTATATTATTGAAAATTTTTCTTACTTTTGTTGTAATATTAATGAATTTGACATTGATGATGATAAATTTGCAGAAAATCTTTCTTTCTTTTTATTTAATATTATTGTTTGATTATCATTATCATCAGCTAAAGGATATTAAAATAAGTTGTATGAATATTTAATCAGAATATATACCTTGATGAATACAAAGATATATAATAGTACTAGAACAATTAAGTCCATTTTTATTAACATATTCGAAAAATGTATTATATTGATTAATATCTAATGGATTACGTCGAAAATCATATAATGATGTTTTTAATTTGTGTTCTCCTTTAATATTGATTAAGAAAAATTTTAAATATTAAATTTATTTAAATTCTGTTTTATTTTTTCATTTTCATTTTACCTAATTTAAAAATTTCAATAAGATTACGATGAATAGTTTCGAAATCAATATCAATTGGATCCCATTTACAAAAACGACTGCCACCACCATCTTCAAGATCGATTTTTTTTATAATGCCATCTCTAGTTAAAGCCAAACGACCACA